GGAGACTCTTGAGAATCCCTTGGACTGCAAAGAGAACAAACCTATCCATTTTGAAGGAAATCAACCCTGAGTGCTCACTGGAAGGACAGATCCTGAAGCTCAGGCTCCAATATATTTATGGAAAAGTGTGAAGGCACAAGGAGAAGGGGATGTCAGAGGATGAGGTGGTTGGACAGTGTCATCGAAGCTACCAACATAGGTTTGACCCAAGCCTGGGAGGCAGTGGAAGGCGGGAGGACCTGGGGTCCTCTGGTCCATGGAGTCACGAAGAGTCAGACATGACTTAACAACTAAACAACAATCCATGTATTCGTGAAGGCTTTCACAGCCAGAGCACAGAGTGCTGTCCTCTGAAGATGCCGGCCACAGAGACTGGCGAAATGTTAGGAAGAACAACGTACTTTAATTACATGGGCTTAAGGCAAAACAGGTGGCCTTCTGACACCTAACATTAAACCATAGTTTAGTTTAGTAGTACATGTATGAGCCTTGAGTTCCATGCTTTCTCTTCCTTCTCTCAGTTGGCCAAGATGATGACTTTGACAGAGTTTACTTTCACTTCCCAGAAAAATGAGACTGCCATTATGTGGATTTAAATAGCTTCCAGTTGTTTAAACACAGGAGCTTTATAATCTGGAGTTTGACGTATGCTTGTTTAGAAACTGATCATTGTTTGATTTAAGCACATGTTACTTCTGATTCGTACATGTTCGATTTTATAGGAAGTGAAAAGCCCCTCTCAGCTGTGCTGGAGAAGGAGAGAAAAGGGCAAATGCATAGCAGTTCCATTATACCTACTGAGGTAGTGTTTAACTACACCTTAACATTGAGGTGCGAATCAGGCCAGTTGTTCCAAGAATTTATTGTTTCTTGGTTGTGACCACCATCCTTCGAATTCTTAGGAGTGCTACATGGTGGCTCCAACCCTGCATGCAGGATTCTGGTCATGACTGGAAGCAACTGGCTGGAAACACTGGATTGCCTGCGCTGGCCTGATGAAGCACTGCACACCCGTGTGTCTTAGAGGGAACAAGCATTGATTGTGACAGAAGAGAATGCTTAGTGCATACATCTTTTGAAACATCACCTACCATCAGATTGATGGGGCACCTTGCAGGCTGATTGGAAGTGTTTAATTTAGCCAATTGATTAAGTATTGTGGCCCCACTGAGAATAAAGAAAAGCCCTCACCGCTTTGTTTTGCAGTCCCAAGCTTTGGCAGCTTGCCTTCATTTCTGCCACTTGTTCTGTTGTCTCAAAGGCTGAATGTGTCACACTTCCCTTATCTCCTAGGAGTGTTTCTGGCTCTGGGCCTTAGTGGGGTCATTCCCACCCTGCATTTTGTCATCTCGGAAGGGCTCCTCAAGGCTGCCACAATGGGGCAAATAGGCTGGCTGGCACTCATGGCCTGCCTCTATATCACTGGCGCTGCACTGTATGCTGCTCGCATCCCGGAGAGGTTCTTCCCGGGCAAGTGTGACATCTGGGTAAGTATAGCTCATAGCTGCAGGCACACAATAGGTAGAGAAACATTAAATGTCTACCCTGTGTACATCTGCAGTCACTTATAAAGCAGCGGCAGATCTGTGGCAGGGAACAGAAGCAATAACCGAGCTCTGAAGATGCCTCAGATTGCTTCGTTCTGAGATTAAAAAGGGAGCCCTATTGTGCAACTGATAACTGGTAACATAGCAAAGTTTGAGGCCCTGGTAGGTGTCATAGAAACAACTGTTTGCACAGTTACTGTCTTGGCATATCTGGTTCCCAAGAGATGGAATGGCATGCATCTGTAAAAAACATAACCATTCCGATACAGATCTGTTGAGGCTCTGTTCATGTGTCTTGTTCTCTATCCAGGTATGCCAACTTGACTGGAGTTTAATGTGTTTAAATTGCAATTGCTTAGTGCTTGCTTGCTCATCAATATTTTTCTCTAACAAGCACGTTGCTGGCTCATTCCTTGGCAAGCTAAGTACTGTATGTTCATTTCTGTTAAACTTGTAGCACTCTTTTTCTTCTATGATGTATGTTCTGGAAAGTGCAAGATGTTTGCTCATTCTGATGATATGCGGTTTATTTTCTCTTCCATAGTTCCACTCCCACCAGCTATTTCATGTGTTTGTAGTAGCTGGTGCTTTTGTGCACTTCCATGGCGTTTCAAACCTTCAAGAGTTTCGTTTTGCAGTGGGAGGAGGCTGCTCGGAAGATGAGATGTAGTAGAATTGGCCACGTGTCAACAGCCATAACCAAAACAGAACTTTGGGAGCAACAAGACTGCACCTTGCCTAGAATGGTGTGGAAGCTTTGTGGAGACTTGATTTATAACATGGAAGAGAAATTCATACCTCAAGCATTGGAGTGGATTGATTATGAAACCCTGGAAGGTCTTAAAACCTAACTTATTTCTGGGATCTTCAGCTTCCGCTACAGAAAGCCCTTTCTTAATCAGCTTCCGTTCAATGCCATATTTATTTGTAAAAAAATGAAAGGGTTGTTATGGGGAGGTGGCTTAGCTATTTTTTTTCTTTTTTAAAAAAAATTAGCCTAATTAAGATTTGTATCTTGTTCAGGTAAGTTGATTTTTAGATGCTCTTTTGGGAGAAAAAAATGTAAATAAGATTTCTAACTTTCTGTTTAAAAAAAGTTTATATAAATGTTTTAAAAACTGGAGGGAGGGTAGAGGGGTTTTGTATAGGTTACAACCTGCAAGTACCACACACTGTTCCTATTTTGCACGAGTACAAGGCCAGGTGAAATCCCTGCAGAGTAAGCATCTGGATCTGGTAGATTCTTCCTAGTGCTGGTGTATATGACATAGCTGAGACACAGCAGACTCAGTCTGGGGACAAGTATTGGTTCACAGTCTTAACTTGCAGTCCAGGCTGCTGTGTGTTCAGAAGGCAAAGGTGTTGTGCCACTGTTCTGTGTTCCCTTCACAGGACATGCCTTCCAAACTCTCGGGGCAAATGTTTTGGATGGTCTTCCTTTCACCATCCTTTTACTGTGTTGGGATCCAATAGTTTAAGGCTCAAGGTGGTATGTATTGACTTTTTCGGATTTATTGTCAGTGTTTCACCATTCATTTGGGCCTGCCAATTTCTTTATCCAAGTGCAATTGTTAGTGTCAGGCACCTGCCTCTTAGATGAGCCAGGAAGGAGAAATGGTCTTAGTAGGGTAGGGAGAAGTATACAAGAAAGGAATTGTGTACTTGAGGGAGGAGGATTGTCTATCAACATGTGAATCCATTTTGGATTGGTTAATTTTATTTCTGAATTATAACAGCACTAAAGTTGTCTATATTAAATCTGCTGAGCTCCACTTGAATGCAGTGCAACATACTTTGATGCAACAGCTTTTAATCTCCTTGCTAAAGTAGTGCTTAGAACCAAGTGCTGGTTGGCACTTTAAATTCTTCCTTAGATAGCTTCACTGTCAGGTTTGTGAAGCATGTTGGCTCTGTAGAGAACATTTGGACAAAATGTGAAGCTTTGAATTTATGAACAGAGTCTCACAAAAAGTACAGTTAGTTTTGCCCATAGTAAATTAAGCACAAGGATTTTTTTTAATTGTAATTGTTTAGGGTTTTTTATGGGATGATAGAATTGTTCACAACTTAACCCTACTTTAGATGATCACAATATATATTATTTTCATATTTCCTGCACCACCTCTTGAATTGATTCTTCTAATTTGACCCCCTCAAAATAGAATATTTGAAGTGATGAAATCTACAAAAGGTGCTTAACTGGTGCTTGTGTGCAGCTTCACATTTGTGTATTCTGGGTAGGATCACCGTGCTGAATGCATATTCTTGAGTTTTTGATCCTAGACTGAAAACAACAGTATTAACTGAACCTCTTAATAAAACAGTGTAAAGGTTTTTGAAACTTCCCAGTGGCATATATAGGTGTTGGTGTAAAGATGGCTTACCTAATTAGTGATAGTGATGGATACATATCAGACCCACACCTACCACTTCTGAGCGTAACCTCTCTACATACCAGCAGAAGCTGTACTCCCTCCTCCTAGATTGTCCTGTGCTCACTCTTAAAAGGGGAAACCTGGTCTAACAGCACAGAACCTGTACAGAAACACAGTGCTCCATTTGCTATTCTTAATCCCTCATTGGTCTCTTAGGACATTTTTGTCCCAATAGAAACTGCTTTAGTTGTGCACTTTTCTGTGGTGCTTGCTGAGACTTCTTCCCAGGTTGGCACCTGAATGCCTTACTCTCAGCAATCAGAGGTTTGCTTGCTTTCTCTTTATCCGTGAAGGTTTCCAGCATAGTGTAGTTGAGATTACAGATCTCTCCATTCTTCCACCCATTAACTAGCGGCCTTGTTCAGTATTTTCTTTTTAACAATTGCTTACTGTTGGAGGCAACAAAGCACATCTTGAATTTTGAAGATTGGGTTCTCCAGACAATGGGATCTCATTACTTGTTGTATTCTAACTTCTAATAAAAAGAATAAATGCAGTGGAGGCTTGTTTTGTTTTTCAACCAGCTCATGTCAACTTGATAGAGAAGGAATGGATAGATGTGTACAAATGTAAGTAATACAGATGTGGGAGAACTTGGCCTGAAAGCAGAATTGCAGTGGTATGCTAAGTAACGCTTACACCTTGCTTCAGCCTGCCAGTTGAAGGCATTCTGTTCTTGTTTGCTACGTTTGGGGATAGAAGCTTGGGCAGGATTTGTGAATCAATTTTTTAAACCATCCAGGCTATTTTTAGGTTTAATGCTGCTGCAGTCAGTGAGACAATTTAGTCACGACTAAAGTTCCATAGATTTTTGTGAGATGAGAGCATGACACCCTTATTGTACTCGGTATATCCTGTAGAGGCATTATTCAATTTAAAGATCCTAATAACCAATATATATATTATTAACTCGGTTGTTGAAGAGAGCATTTCAAGAGAATTGCTTACATTTTTAAAAAAAAATCAAAACCAGATTTTAAACATTTAAAGTAGCAGTTTAACATTTAGTAAAAACTGCCCAACCCATTAAATTTGGTTAGAATGGTTATACTCTTTTCTCAATACCCTCAATTTTAATTTCTAGATTCTGCAGCACTATTTCAACTGAAGGTTTTTCTAGACAGATATATTTTAGCGTCTGTCTGTTCTAAACTTAACACAGTTCAGTTCAGATTTGCTTGAAAATCTTTTTTCCATGTCAAAATATGATTAATCTTACATACAATAAATGTATCAGAAGTCTACTAGGAAGTCAGAGTATGAGCCCATATGCCCTCCTCTACTGCCATTTCTTTTGAGCAAAGTGGTACCCGAGAGAGAGAGGTCACTGCTCTCCACAGAGGGACCTTTACATTCTATGTACATACTGTATTGTCTGTTTCCATAAGGTTCTATATCCTTCGGAATTACTCTGTATTTATTCAGTTCTGAGACAATATAGTTTTAACATATACTCCTTTTTGATCTGCAAAAGGACATCATGAGGCAAGCTGGTGAAACCATTTTTCCCCATATGAAATTAATCTGCAGTGGTGCCTCGCTTGACAATTACCCTGTTAGATGACGAAATCGCTTTACGATCGCAAAACGATGTTTGTATGGGTTTTTTTCACTTGACGATCAGTTCCCTGCTTCAGGAACCGATCATTCGCGTAAAAACAGCTGATTGGCGGCTCTCAAAATGGCTCCCCGCCGTTTTGCTGACCTCATTTCGCAAGACAGGGAGCGGAAAATGGCCACCCTATGGAGGATCTTCACCGCACGATCAGGTATTTCCCCCATTGGAACACATTGACCAGTTTTCAATGCATTTCAATAGATTTTTTTCCCTGCTTGATGACAATTTCTCTGTACAGCAATTTTGCTGGAACGCATTATCGTCAAGCGGGGCACCACTGTATGTTTCAAAAATGGTGCTACCATTTATTTTGTGGCAATAAAATGAAGGTGTATTTGCCTGTATTTCAGACAGTGTAGCTTAATTTAAGTTCTAATTATTTTGCACATTTTGCTATTTGAACTCAGCATTACTGCCTATCTTTATGTGGCACTAAAAGGTTCTATCATTGCATCAGTAATGGGTGTGGTTTTTGTTATGTGCCACGAATTCACCTCCATGAGCCTATGAATGAGCTACTCTGAAATGTCTACTCCCCAGCTGCCCTGCTCTGCTCTTCTAAACTCAAGCCTGTGACTTCTTTTAGGGGAGTTAGACAGGGATGTTGTTAGGAAAATGTAATGCTCTCTTTCTCCAAATCTGTTACGAAACTCAAGACTCTCAAATAGACTCTCTCAATGCAGATAGTCGTATTTAAAGTAGAATATATATTTTCAAATAGAGTGGCCCAATGCAATAAGGATCCCAGCAAAGGCCCTCAACACATATAAGAATACACTTTATATAGGCTCAGTGGAGACTTACTTGCCCCTTTAGCAATTCCGTAGTTCATTTTTCTGCTGACCTTTAATGAGGCCAGTAAAAATGCCATCTTTCTTCTTCGTGGCCTCTGTGAATACACACATATGGGTTTAGTCTGCACCTGCGCTGACATTCTCGGAGCATTCCAGAGCTAAAAGTAACAATTTTATGGTATGATCCCCCATGAGGCACAAGCTCCTCCCACCCAAGATTCCCCTCAGTTCCTTTTTTCCGCCGTGCTGTAATGTTCTACAGAGCATAGAGCTATTTCCACAGGGGTTTTTCCCCTTAGCTTATTGATAAATTCCCTCTAAATTGGATTCTTTCCCTTCTCAATTATCTAATCTATGATCCCCCGTGAGTTGTTTTCTTTTTTGCTTGCCAGCTACTTGGCTTACCCCCCTCCCCCCCACACACACTTCAACTGGTAGAATATTTTCAAATAGAGTGGCCCAATGCAACAAGGATCCCAACAAAGGCCCTCAACACATATAAGAATACACTTTATATAGGCTCAGTGGAGACTTACTTGCCCCTTTAACAATTCCGTAGTTTATTTTTCTGCTGACCTTTAATGAGGCCATTAAAAATGCCGTCTTTTTACTTCTCGTCACTCAATTGTTCTTTCTTAAATAACTGTCTACGTTAGCAAGAATGGTCTTTCTGGATGATTCTCCTTACAGTGTCTGCTTTTTGTGAACCAAAGTTTCAGGCCTTTGTTCTAACCTAGGCCTGTGGTTTCCTTATACAACTCCCTACAACAGGTGAGGTAGCAGGTTTATAATGAACGTGCTGGTGTGCATACTTCACTGTCCCTAATAAATGAGTATGTTATGTAGGCCACTGTGTGAAATGTTTAAGCACATGATTTCCAGTGAAACAACATATGTAGGCAAGAAGATACATTTTTGACTTATGTTCAGCTACAAGACAAATGTGGCCTTTGTGTGCCACACTGCATACTATTGTAAGAATGAAGGCGGACACGAAACATGTAGTGAAAATGCTGCGTTTAAAAAAGAGGCCATATGACAATTTTTACAAAAAAAACCACAACACCAATCTTTGCTGTACTTCCATAGATTTCTTTTGATCACTGACTTATTGAAATGCTAATATTTTCAAGAAAATGCATGCCAAACATTGCTCCATAGGAATTCCCTTTTCCAACTTGATCCTGTTGCAGGGGAATGGGCACGCTGGCTCCTTTTTGGAGAGTTTGACCTGTGTTGCTGCAAGCCTAGCACGTAAACTCTTAAAGACCAAATGCACAAAAAATCCTCTCAGGATTGCCTGTAGTTCCTCGCATGCTTTCAGAAGTTGAGAGAAATTCTGTATCTTTTTAGTGCATCTCTCTTTGGGTGTTCTCATCTTCTCGCAAACAGACTCAATTAAACAACATGCCCATCCATGCAGCTCTCACGTTGCCTAAACAAAATATTTGTGACCTCAGAAGGTGACAATACAAGTAATAAAATTTGACTCAGTGTACTTTTCGTGTAGCTGTAAGTTCTGCCAGAAATTGAATTTTTATCTCACTGAAACTGCCAAAAGTATTGTTGCATTTAATGTGTAAGATTTTAGTAGACATGTTTACAACTTGTCGTTTTGGTACCTGCATAATGGAATTGGTCTTTCTTCCCAGAGCTGTATTATCAGGTACTACGGGTATGAATAAGTTTGAGAAGTGTGGATACAAGGAATGCTGATGTGCCCGTGGTTCACACTGCAACATTTTTTAAAAGCGCTCAGCCAATATAGTATGCTTCTGAAATGGAGCTGAGCTATTTTCACATTAATTTGATACCTCTGAACATTACGACACCAGTTATTCCATAATGAAGCTGTATCAGGCTTGGAAGGCTACCCATGTTTTCCATAGGTAGAGTAGCAGCAAGTAGCTGAACCCAGTTACCAACTCAGTCTTCTTCCTTTATGTGACAACCTTGTTCCCCAGTTTCTTGATAAAGATAGAGCAGAATCTTGCTGGTAGCGGAATTGGATGGTTAACTTGCTTCAAAGCAACGTTGCCCCTGCATTTTCGGCAGCTCTCTAGAAGGAAAATGTGGCCACAGGCTTTTATCTAGTGCTCTTCACTGATGAAGTCTGTATCTCTCCTGCTGAAGCAGTGTAAGATAATCATACTATAAAATAAAGAGCAACATGTAAATCCATCCAGTCTAGCAAGTGTTGTCCACCATTATTGATCTCATACGAACTTCTCCAGGCAGTGCAGTGCAGATGTGGTGTTAATCACATAGCTGGGTTATCCTGTTAGGCCCATAGCCATAATGAATGTCACGTCCCTTCTTTTTACATTATTAGCACAGCTAGAAAGCTGCCTGAGAGCAATGTTGTCCCCGTAGTGACAGAGCTTCTGCAGTTTGGTCCATATACACAAACAGTACCTAACTAAATGTCCAGCCTGATGTTTCCCTTAAAATACTAAGCTGTGTGCCGTTCTGTCTCAAAGGAAAGATAGATGGACATTGTCACCGCTGGAGAAGAGTTGCAATTGCCAGGGAAAGGAATAGTAGAGTCAACGAGACAGGGATATCTGCAGCTCCTCCACAGTCCTGGGCATTTTCCTTAAAAAGAAAGTCAAAGATCAGCAAACCTAGAATTAACAGCCAGATTTGAAAAATCCCACATAACAAAACCAGCCATGCTAGAAGGTATCTTGTATTAATAAATGGAACAGAAAATGACCTGCAGTGATAACGATAAAAACAGGATTTTTTTGTACAATGTCTGCTTTTAGAAACTTGTGGAAGGCATTCCTTTATGTTTGGCTAGTGGTTCCTTCTGAAGATAGTAGGTAGTGGCTAAATTTGTTATTCTTTTGGAGAAGTCACCTACACTCCCTGGAATGAACTAAAGAAAGATGGGCACTGTGAACCCTATGTTATCAATATGAATACATGGCTAAATATAGTACTCACCAATAGAAAAGGTTTTGAGTAGAATCAAACAAGTATCCATTGGAACTAGTATACACTGGTGTGTGTGTGTGTGTGTGTGTGTGAGAGAGAAGAAAGATGGGCACTGTGAACCCTATGTTATAAATATGAATACATGGCTAAATATAGTACTCACCAATAGAAACGGTTTTGAGTAGAATCAAACAAGTATTCATTGGAACTAGTATACACTGTTGTGTGTGTGTGTGGGGGGGAATAATCTGAGTAGCCTTGGTCTACTATTCCATAATCCAATCCCCACTTTCCAAAGCAGTGGTTCCTGGAGGGTATGTGGAACACCGTCTAGCAGTCTCTCAGCATTAAAATTCCCAATGCAAATACATCAAGTGATCTCCAGAAACCTCCAAAGAACAATTCATTGATCTTGGGACTTAACAGAATAGTGAGAGTTTCCAGAAAGATAGGCAGCTGTGGTGCCCAAAAATATCTGAGAGGCTTTGTGATAAGCTGTATCTGCAAGGGACACCAAGTCTTTTCAGTTACGTCTTGTGAGTGTATACACAAAAGCACCCATTGCAACTTTGCAGATGTCCAAACTGGGAAAATTCCCCTTTAAGCCCACAGACATGGTTGCACCTCTCAGAGAACATCATATCCACAGTGATTTCTTATGAATATTACAAAACCAGAAAATGAAAACAGTAACATAATCAGTAATAAAAATGCTAACAGCATTAATGGTTGTATAAACGTTGTGTGGAACAAAAGCATTCATACTGACCTACAACAGTGCAGAAACTATATGTTTCAAAATGCGTATTAGTAATACTTGCAAGAGAAAGTTAACAAGATTTGTGCAGGGTTATAGAACAGAGTGGCCATAGACCTCACATTCTGAATTTTCACATTGGAAGAAAAATAAGGTAGCCCAGAATTAATACAAAAAGAGTAAATAAATGTATAGACACAGATAGATATAGATATACATTATATATAATATAAATAATGTATGTGGCATTAACAGTGACTTAATTGGTGCTGTTGTGGGGCAAAGCAGGTTTCCCTACCTCAGGGTGGAACGCGTGGCAGCTATCTGGTCGTCGCCTCAATTTCTGGGAGCGCATCCTGTCACACTTCACTGAAGTGTTATGTAGACCACTGTTAAGGTTGATAGTTTTTGGAAACAGAAGGGATGCCAGCAGCTTTTTGTTAGACACTGAATGCAATCAGATGGATAAATAGGTTGTATTTTGGACTACTTGTGACACAATCTGATGGGTGTTATTTCCTGGCAATCACATGATGCACAGGAGATTGTGAACCAGCCCAGTATGATAAGGCTACGACCCCTTCTTGCTATCTGATCATACCCTATGCTTGTCTGTGAGGGCAACCTGGAACTCCAGTGTCCGAGAACTCCAGTTTTCAGGTAAGGCTTATAAGTGATGGTACAAATACATTTCCACACCTTGTACAGAGCTCTCCCCAATGACCTACTCACATTACTGCAGGTACACAACAGACGCAGTGGATCAGAGTTACAACTTAAAAGGAGAGTGTGATACTGTCAGAGGCAAAAAACTTCTTAAACATGCCACACCTGATCTACATGTTCTTCCACCTGTCATTGTGTTTGAAGTATGGCTGAATGCAAATATTTAACCCTATAAAAGCTAATAGAACTTCAGTTAGTCACAGGTTGTTGCATTGATTTTCGTAGTACTTTAAATGGCTTATAGCCATCATAGCTTCAACCTAGGAGTTTTCTTGGCCAGTCATCACTTCAGCCATCAGGGCTGGCTTCATAGCCTAGGAGTTTTCTTGGCCAGTCATCACTTACTAAGCCTTTGGGCAACTGAAGTAAGCAAGGAGCAAGCCCCAGCACAATGGAATTTCGTTCAGCACAACTAGTTTGCCAAAGTGCACCTGCTGCTCTTTACATTATTGCTCCAGCTACAGGGCTGAGAACCACATTTATCTTCATGTTCTGTGTGGTTCTGATAAAAAACGAAGTGTGTGGGGAGGGGACACTGGTCTGAGTTGGATGCACAGTCTGAGCAGGGAAGGGAGCACTTATCCCCCTCATACGACGCCTGCAGTCCTCAAGTTCCAATGGAACCTTCTCAAAGCTGTTAAACATCTCCCAATCTATCTAGCTGCCACTTGAAAATCTACAAACCTAAATATGAAACATTTCACATAATAAGTAGCATGGCGCTGACACTGGAAAGAAAATGCAGACTATAAAAGCAGGATTTTAAAAAAATCATAAGAAGATATCTTATTCTAAAGCAGATCTCTAACTTGTTGCATATACCAACTGGCAGTAGAGAAAAATCATTCGAGCTGTAGTTGAATATACCTGGGGACTGATCTTTCTATGTACGAAAGCATTTGTTCTGCCACTGAATTACTTTTCCTTTTTTTAGGCTTGAACTGCTACAGATGTAAATGCAAATACATCTAAATCTGCCCCAAATTGCAAGGTAGCATACTTCAGAAAGAAGGGCCTTTTTAAAAATTGCAAAGTCCATATAGAAAATAACAAAGATAATTTCTTGTTCTGATGTTTCATACAGGAAATCTAAAAAAACAGGCATTGACACTGCATAATTAGCTAAAATAAATACCAACGAAAAGCATACAATTGTTTCTGTCATGCTTTTTACTAGAAAGTATGTTGTATTTCTCCCCCTCCTTGTGACCCCAAAGCAGACTCTGTGTCTATTATTACTTAGCAGCTGAAATGTGACAGTGCTGTAGAGTCCAGCAAAACCTTTGTTCAGCAGAAGGATATATTTGACTTCTTTAGGAAGCAGGAGAACAGGAGGGAAGATGCTGCAATCACAGGCAGTATCTGTAACCAGGAACAAGAGGTTGCTTCTGGTAATTTGCTGCACCACAAACATCCTGTATGATGAAAAAGGTGTCCTTTTTAGACAACATTCAGAGTAGGAGGAGGTAAAACATGCCATTAACCTGCCACACAAGGATATTCTGGGTTGAGGGAACAGGAAGAACAGGAAAGAAAGCAAATCAGCAATTGAATTTGATGCTATGCTACATCCCTGACAATTAAGTTGGAAGACTGCTATGTTCAATATTTTCCCCTTGGAGATGCTGCATTTTTGAACCTGAACTGTGACTAGAAGGCCGGCTGAGAAATTTTGGCGCATGTGGGCCAAGCTGTCTACCATAATGGTTCCCAATCTTGGATGGACGACTGATGAAACTTTTAATATGCTTAACAACAGATCAGAAGCCAATGTAAAAAGTAACAGAAACAGGATCAGAATACAAAATGCAGCTTGTCTGAGACTGGCACGGAGGGGCAAGACAACCACTACCATAATTATTCCAGAGACCTACAAGAGAACAACAAAGATGGAAAGAAAAGAGCTCACTTTTGTAAGACCAGGAAATATTATTTTCTTTATTCATATCAGAGTGTCACAATTTAAATTTATGCTCATATATAAAATATAGGTAAAATTAACAAATTAAAATGTTAAGATAATTAAACTGTTTTTGAAGCAGTTTAATTATCTTAATTGCTTCATTATTGAAGCAGGCTATTCCAATAATGTTATCTTGGCCATTTGCTAAACCTTTCTATGTACATTTGGTGGGGCATAAACTGCATGCACATAAGCGGTATAATGATTGAATACCTCCAGTTCCAGGAAAAAGTGCCCTGTATCTAAGTAGGCCCATTTGACTTGATTATTCTTTCCTACTTTGCTTAAAGTCTATTAAGTGACCTCCAGATGGTCCAACTAGAGTATTGTCCTGGTGGTGGAGACCGTTCATCATTCATTTGGCAATGTCTGTTGTTTTTGTTTTCCATCCTAGTCTTTTGGTTTAATATTTAGAGACCAAGAAATAAAGCAGATGGTCCAACTAGAGTTTTGTCCTGGTGGTGGAGACCCTTCATCATTTATCCATTTGGCAATGTCTGTTGTTTTTGTTCTCCATCCTAGTCTTCTGGTTTAATATTTAGAGACCAAGAAATAAAAGGGAACAATTAAACCAATATTAGAGATTCTGAAAGATCAATGCTGGAATTCCTTATCTAATTAGGATAAAGTAAAGAGAAGATGAAACCAATATACTGAAGAACTTATACAAATAGATATATTGAAGAACTATACAGAAGAGAATTAAGGAAGACAATTTTTTTTCAAAAGAATTCTCTGATGAATAAGACACAGTTCTAAAAAATAAGGTACCAGTTGTGCTGAAAATAACTGGAAGAACTAAATCAGCAGAGTATGGGATACTAGTATAGCTATTTCAAGCTTCAGAAATTTATTAAAACCCTGATCAAAATACACCAACAAATATGGAAGATCAGACAGTGGCCACACAATTTACATTCCAGTCCCAAAGAAAGAAGAAACAAAGATTGCAGTTATATAGGATCATTATGTTAATATTCTATGCAAGCAAACTGATGCTTGAGATTTTACCATAATGCCAAATGTTCAACCTGGATCCAGAAAATGAAGAGATATACCGTATTTTTCGCACCATAAGACGCACTTTTCCCCCACAAAACAGGGGAGGTGGAAAGTCTGCGCGTCTTATGGAGCGAAGAAAACAGATTATATTATCCTGTTTTCTTCTCCTAAAAAATTGGTGCGTCTTATGGACGAAGAGCTATAACATACTTTGGACAGAAGGCTGCTAGTAGAGTTGAATATGGAGAAACAGAATCATTTCATTTGGCAAATTCATCAGAGGTACATTTTCTCTTATCTTATACTTTGGACAGAAGGCTGCTGGTAGAGTAAAATATGGAGAAACAGAATCGTTTCATTTGACAAATTCATCAGAGGTACATTTTCTCTTATATGTTCACACTATATGGAGAACATATTAGATTCTGATGAAAAATAGTGGAAGAAACAAATAAGTTGAGATACGTAGGTAACACCATTTACTGTCAGAAAGCAACAGTTACTTGAAACATTGAAGAAGGTTTATGGAGAAAATATTAGATTCTGATGAAAAATAGTTGAAGAAACATAAATAAGTTGAGATATGCAGGTAACACCATTTATTGTCAGAAAACAACAGTTACTTGAAACATTGAAGAAGGTTAAAGAAACAGGTGCAAAAGGTGATTACAACACCTGGAGAAAAATGAGGACTACTGTAGAATCACATAACTTTAATGCTGACAATGAATAAATATTAGATTCTGATGAAAAATAGTTGAAGAAACATAAATAAGTTGAGATATGCAGGTAACACCATTTATTGTCAGAAAACAACAGTTACTTGAAACATTGAAGAAGGTTAAAGAAACAGGTGCAAAAGGTGATTACAACACCTGGAGAAAAATGAGGACTACTGTAGAATCACATAACTTTAATGCTGACAATGAATAAATTGAAATTATACCTAGCTTCAGTCATCAGTCAAAATGAACATTGTTGTCAGGAATTCAGAAGAAGACTAAAACTTAGAAAGGTAGCTACAAAGGAATTAGAATTTATCCTAGGACGTGTTGCCAGAGACCAAGGCCACAATCATATTTATTTATCTAAAATATTTAGCCCACCTTTCTTCTTAAAAAGGACCCAAGAGGGCTTACATCATTAAAAAAATATTTAAAGCTAAAACAGTAAGTATATAAAGGTGGTGTGCATCATTAAAAGACAATACTCCCCGACAGCATTACCAGTTACAACATACAGATGTGAAATGGACAGTGAAGAAAGCTGGCAGGAAAAAAAATTGATTCATCTGAAACAGATTGATGGATACCAAGAACTGCCAGAAAGACAAATAAGTGGGTCAAAACAAGTGTGAACTATTTCTAGATACATACGGTAAATTGAGGCCCTCGTGACGTGGACATACCACAAAAAGAAAAGACTCGAAGTGAGAAGACAACAATGCTATGGAAAGTGTGCTACCTACGTTCACTTTTATTGTATTTTTTTGCTGCATGATTAGTTTCTCATTTAGTGTCAACAAAAGTGTCTTTGCAAGAACAGGTGATACCTTTATAGGCCACTAATAAAAAAAAAATTAAAATTGTACAATATGCAAGCTTTAATGGGTAAATTCCACTTCTTCAAAGCAATGACCAAAAATCCAAAGGTATGTGGCAGGGCTTAGATGAGGCTTCCTGCTTCATTTTAGACAGAAATACCGAGTGAAATTCATCTTGCCAAGAATTTGACATCTAAGAGTAACCTCCTGGCAAACCCCGTCTTGCTGTGAATGTCTGGACTTTGTACAATATGCAAATTTTAATGGGTAAATTCCACTTCTTCAAAGCAATGACCAAAAATCCAAAGGTATGTGGCAGGGCTTAGATGAGGCTTCCTGCTTCATTTTAGACAGAAATACCGAGTGAAATTCATCTTGCCAAGAATTTGACATCTAAGAGTAACCTCCTGGCAAACCCCGTCTTGCTGTGAATGTCTGGACTTTTGGTACTTGCTTTGAAGAAGTGGGATTTATCCACAAAAGCTTGCATATTGTATGATTATTTAAATTAATAGTTGGCCAATAAAGGTATTGCCTATTCTTGCCTTTGTTTTATTTCGAAGTGCCTTTGTTGTTCAACAAAGACAAGATGTATCAGTTTCTAATACTGCCTGCAAACAACGTGAATTGCTGTACTCTGGCGCCCTCTACTGAGAGCAACACGGAAGTTCCTGGAAAAGCTAAAGGAGAGTTCCAGCTTAATATGAAGCATTAGTTGGCCAATAAAGGTATTGCCTATTCTTGCCTTTGTTTTATTTCAAAGTGCCTTTGTTGTTCAACAAAGACAAGATGTATCAGTTTCTAATACTGCCTGCAAACAATGTGAATTGCTGTACTCTGGCGCCCTCTACTGAGAGCAACACGGAAGTTCCTGGAAAAGCTAAAGGAGAGTTCCAGCTTAATATGAAGCACTAAAAATTTACTCTCCTCTGTCTCTATTGTTCTTATGCTTTTATTTCATGTGTGTGTACTTCTTTTTTTTTTAAATGAGCCTTTATGCAGTATTTTACTTCAACTATTTTACTTGTAATTCATATTTTAACAGATTAGGCTTTCACTCACAATCCTCGTGCAAGCTAACTTTTGCCTCACAAAATGTGTTACCTTTAAGGATTAGTGAGATAGTAGCACTTCTTTTGTTTCACCACTTCTCTTTTCACCTTTCGCTATTTCCATTTCAGTTTTCCTTTGTTCCTCATGAAGGATAGTCAGTTTTCAGATCCTACCAGTTTTTGGATTCCAAAACATACAGTTTTGGATCCCAATGCTTTTTGTGACATTCTGGCCTTTCCACTAATTTTCACACTCGCTGGTTCACATACTTTAGGCTGTGCAAAAAGGAACCATCCAGACATCTTTTTCTACCTTTTAAAATCCCAACTACTCCTCCTTAGTGCCAGTAAGGAAGACAGTAAGCTGCATATCATCCTCAAATCCCTCCTCCTAGGTATGCTGGGGTTGTTCTTTTTTATACTGTCCCAACCAGATCCTCCTTCACTGCAATTCTTAAAATAAATCAGGTGTTCTCTGAAAGGGTTTCTTAATCTCAGTAAAACTCTGTGTTCCTATTGATAAAGCACAGCTTCATATGATGTTGGTGAATCTTTGTTCGTTAGTAGTCTGGGTTCCTTATTAGTTACACATACAGTAGGTCCCTCATATCCACTGGGGATTAGTTCCAAGCTCCACTGTGGATACAGAAAACCACAGATAACAGTCAACACTAAATGATAGATAGATAGATAGATAGATAGATGATAGATAGATAGATAGATAGATAGATAGATAGATAGATAGATAGATAGATAGATAGATAGAAGCATATTAAAAGGAAAAATCAGAAAAAAATATTTTCACAATCATTACCAGAACTGGCCACTAGAAGGCGCCAGAGACCATACTACCATATGCATTAACAAGTACAGTATTCATAGTACAATCTCTGGGCCCCTCTAGTTATTGGTTCTGGTAATACACGTAATACATGAGGGGAAAAAATGTGGAAATAGGTTTTATTTTTGGTTTTTTTCTTTTAATATTTTTAATATTTTCAGATTGTGGATAAGTGAAACCATGGATACTGATCCCACTGATACAACAGTCCTACTGCAATGAGACATTGGTGTAAACAATTACACAGAATTTTTATTTAGGATACATGGGTAATAGGTACAAAGGGAAAGGATTGATAAAAGTTAAAACAACAAATAAATCTAAATGTATTTCTCCACTATTTTAAGTTCAAAATAATTATTTTACAGATCGTCAGTCTTTCCTACACACACACAAACACACACTTCTAATCACTATAGACAGGATTTCCCTCATATATTCTACCACAAACTACCACCAGCTCTCAGACCTAATAACTCTCTTCACCTCTCTGCTCTGGCTGTTCTTGATCTCTTTCAGCTGATTCACAAACCTCATTCCCGTAACATTCCAATCAACCAACATTTGACTATTCAACTGGCAATCACATGAACACTCCACCCATTCCTGTCCACAATACCGGCATTCAAAACTATATATCAACTTGGTATAGGTAGTCATGCATAAATTCACACATAGAAGCTCAAAATGGGCAGAATTGCCCATTCCAGTCACACTCTGCCTTGGTCCAGTGCTGGCAGGACTGAGATAGTGACCACCGCAGACGGTACACGACCAGAGGGAAACAGTTCCTAAGGTACTTGGGGATCTGAGTGGTGGCCACTATTATTGCTAGAGTGTGGAAATTCTATTATTTTGTGATGCAACTCCAAGACTCTCTGGCAGGATTGAGATAGCAACCACCGCAGACGGTACAAGACCAGAGGGAAACAGTTCCTAAGGCACTTGGGGTCTGAGTGGTAGCCACTATTATTGCCAGAGTGTGGAAATTTTATTATTTTGTGATGCAACTCCAAGACTCTCCTTGCTAGCAATGCAGTCCAAAAAAACCAAACATTTCCCAGCTCTGATCACTATTGCTTTATTATTGAGATAGCAACCACCGCAGACGGTACAAGACCAGAGGGAAACAGTTCCTAAGGCACTTGGGGTCTGAGTGGTAGCCACTATTATTGCCAGAGTGTGGAAATTTTATTATTTTGTGATGCAACTCCAAGACTCTCCTTGCTAGCAATGCAGTCCAAAAAAACCAAACATTTCCCAGCTCTGATCACTATTGCTTTATTATTGCTAATAGGGTCAAGAGGGAAAAGGAAGCAGGGTGCTTACTTCTGACAATCTCCACATTCAATGATCCCATTGGTCTCTTTGATAGAAGGTTCATATACAAATACTGGATATTCTGTGTCACATGGCTGCAGTGTGTCATGCTTCTTATGCTTGTGAGCTGGGATTGGGGTGGGGGAAGGCAGCAGGAGAAAAAAAAAATCAGGCAAGACAAATTAGTGAGAAAGCCTGGTGATAGGCAGGAGGAGATAAGAGAGGCGGAAAGGCGCTGACCCAAAAAACAAAATGCATGCATACTGACAACCACTAGGTGGTGTCAAATTACTTGAAACATAACAAGGTGCTAGAAACCCTGCAGCACATTGGAATATATGTACGGCAGGCTGATCCCTGCTAGAACGTCACCATACATGGGGGTCTGTCTCTTTTGTCTTGGTTTTTTTTGGGGGGGGGATTTTGCCTGATATGCTTGCACGGACTAACACGGAAATACATGGGGTAAGCATAAATAATAATTGATAAGAATTCAGTCTTAATAAATACAGCAATATTTGATCTGTATCAGCCTTTCTCAATATGCTTCCCAGTACATGTCTTGATGTTCCCAGGACACGTGTTTCTGTAATTCCACAATCAGCCCAGCTGTAGTTCAACACATTTGGAAGCTATCAGGCTGAGGAAGGCTTGGTAGTTAGAGAACTGTCTCCAAACTATGCTATTGTAACCATCAGGCTGAGGAAGGCTGGTGTCACTGAAACTGTTTGATAAAGGCATTGTGAAGAGGCTCTTCCTTTGCTTCAAAGAGGATTTTTTGTAGTTATAGAACTGTCTCCAAACTATGCTATTGTAACTCTCAACCTTAGTAAGCTTCAGCTAATCACAAAAGAAGCTGCCTTGCCAAGAAACAGCATCTTGCATTTATGCTCACTACTCAGGAACTCACTTGCCCACAATCTCCAGCACCCAATCTAATCTTGTATTGAGTGTTAAAGGTAAAGGTTCCCCTTGACATTTAGCCCAGTCGTGTCTGACTCTAGGGCGCGGTGCTCGTCTCGGTCTCCAAGCCATAGAGCCAGCGTTTGTCCGTAGACAGTTTCTGTGGTCACGTGGCCAGTGCGACTAGACACAGAACACCGTGACCTTCCCACCATGGTGGTACCTATTTATCTACTCGCATTTACATGCTTTTGAACTGCTAGGTTGGTAGGAGCTGGGACAAGCGACAGGAGCTCACTCTGTCCCATGGATTTGATCTTATGACTGCTGGTCTTCTGACCTTGCAGCACAGAGGCTTCTGCGGTTTAACCCTGGGTGGCTCAACTTCCCTTTTTGAGTGTTAGGAAGAGAATTAAACAAATTACATCTATTTCCAGCTGTTCAGTTACAAGTAGAAACTGAACAGCTGTGATGTGGGAAATGCCATTCAAGTGTTTCTGAGCAAATCTGTTGTGGATGTTTTCTTGTTTCCAGAAGATGAAGTTCATCTTGCTGTACTATGACAGCTCTGCTTACCATGATGGAAGACAGACTTAGCTATGTAGGTCACATAGTATATGAAATGAAGAAGATGGAACCACGAAGTCACGTTGGCAAGATGGTGGCACAATGTCATTGTGAAGACACACAGATGGAAGGGATAGGAAAGAAAGAAAGAGAGAATGACATGATGGTGAAACTGTGAATACATCTAGAACTTTCTCACTTGACAAAAGCAATGATGGGAACTATTCATCCTTTAATGCTCAGTGGCCCTACTCTTAGCCACACTGCTATTTCATAACAAAAGTCTTTGGCATTTGGTTGTCTATTTTCTTCATTGCCTTCTCTGACATCTAGAGGCCTATGTGCCAGGTATACACGATGCGTAAGACTAAAAACTTTGTAGGCCTAAACTCTTGGACTTTGTGTGTGGGCCATCCTTTTGGAATGAAGTACTGTGATGCAATTACCCCAAACTAGAGAAGCACCAGGATTTTGACTGTTTAAAGCAACACCTGATACAATTTATGTGACTAATCCTCCAAACCTTTGGAAGGATTAGCATGGGTTACACATTTACTGTACTGCTGTCTGATATTCTTCTGAACTGGGTATCGATACTTTAAAAACTTGTGCTCCATATTAATACTTTCGAAGTTCAATGGGTATGAAATTGTTAAATGCTAGCTTACGGTATTTTTTTCTGCTTTTAGTTTATTATGTCATTATGCTTTCAAACTATGGGATTTTCAGAGCTCACAGAACTTGCTCATATAATCCATAGGCTACATGTTATCCACCATTCTGTGTTGGGCTTAGTATCTAAACACCTAGGTTTCTCACTGAGGAAACTCTCCCACAGGTTCCAACCAAAATATCCATAGGCTGTAGGCAAATGGAAATGGTACACTGCTTCAGCAAGTCGCTGTTATTAATTTGGCATTTACTATGTATGATATGCTACCACAAATTATACAGTATGAACTACCCTAGTAAACCAGTGCTATTAACCCCTGCCAATGCATCTCAATGGTTCTGAATATAGGTTAAATGAAATCTAGAGACTATATTTTAATTGCCAAAATGGTGATGGTGCCTTTGGATTTTGCTAGATTGCACTGCTATATGCAACTCCCACATCTCAACTGGTGGCTGCAAAATTGATGTGCTCTGGGCTGGCTGTAATTCTACATACTCACCATCAGCGAAGTTGTCTGTGTGCCAGAAATTAGATATGTTGAATTCCAAAAGGAATCTGTCAAAAGAGGAAAAAAGATTATGTATTGTATGCTTGCCCAGAAGGACAAAGGTGTTACAGAGGCAGCCAGAAGGCATGACTGACTGTATTCTGATTTAATAGGCTACAGGAACAGCCTAAAACTTAACCTGCAGTTCTTGCTAGTTCACACCTGATCCAGTTACTTAATATTCTCTTTGGCTACTTTTTGGACAATTGTGTCTTAATCCGAAAATAAATTTATGGCAATACCTATGGCGGTGCTTTCATTAACACTGTGCTCTTGGGGGCTGGGAAGAAGTAGATGCAGTCACCTTGAAAGCCATCTGCTCAGCAACAGCGGATAACCTGTGTTTGGTGCATAGCAACAACTGTGGCATGCCCCTGGCAAGCTAATATACTAAAAAAGTGTTTCAGAATCTGGATCTCATCCCATGTTCAGAGGTGTTGGGGTCCAGCCTTTCAGGTGTGAGCCCAACCAATCTCTTCTGTACAGATGTAATTAAGAATGTGCCTTTTTTTTGCTGGGTGGCTCATTCTGATCAAATTATTTTTTAAAAAATATTCAGGCTTAGTCAAATCTGAGAGAAAAAGCTATTTCTCCGTTTATATTAGTGTAATGCAACACATAATATTCATGCCTTTTCATAAAAGTAAAGTATCATATGGCATTTACAGGCTTAATGCAAACTTGTTTTCTAAGGAAGATAGATGGTTGCTGGAACAGCTTGCAGATTTTTACTGAATGTTCATTTTTTTTCTCCCCTAAGAAATGCATCTTTGGCTTCTCATGTTGATAAACTAAGTTCCCAGTTTCAACTGTGGTTTACTGTTAAAGTCTCTTCTTCACCTTTATTTTACTCTTGTTCCAGTGTTTGTTTGTCCGCATGATGTTAACTGCAAAGAGGCAGCTGATATCAGCAGCTAGCTCTACCTTCTCCACTGCAGTCCACAAGTTGGAGAGTGAGCATTTTCAGCAAGAAAACTGCTCTGCTCATGAAGGCTCCTTGTAGAATTTCATACAGTTCTAAATTGCACAGACACCCTACAAAAGGACAGCAGGCTTTTGCTTAAGGAAGGCAAATGGGATAGTAATGAAGAGAACAGGAAGAGCAGACACATACCCACCTCCTGTCCATGTAAGGAATACCAATAATGGGAACATCTGCACCCTACTATGTAAGTTTGCCTATGAGGGCAGGGTTATGCACTAGAAATTATGAATTTTGGACTTGATCATGCTTCCTCATCTGTGTGATTAAGCTGCCTACTTGCTAGGCTTTTGGAAATCTCTTAAAATTAAGACACGATAGAAATGCATCTGTTTTATACGGTGTTGCATGGGGTTTCTTCACATAGAACTTTGATAACATGCATGTGGTGCCTGATAACCATACATCATCTATATGTGGAGTAAGCCCATGGGTGTGTGTGTGTGAATTTTCACTCTAGTCCACCAGATTAAGACACTATAGTATCTGCTGCAGTAGATAGTATAGCTATGATACAAGGATATCTGCAAGCGAGATCTGAAGGCCTTAGGAATGGACCTCAACAGATGGGAAACCCTGACAGTGGAGTGGTAGATAGTACAGCTGCGATACAAGGAAATCTGCAAGCGGGATCTGAAGGCCTTAGGAATGGACCTCAACAGATGGGAAACCCTGATATTGGAGTGGTAGTTAGTACAAGCGGGATCTGAAGGCCTTAGGAATGGACCTCAACAGATGGGAAACCCTGACATCGGAGCGCTAGTTAGTACAGCTGTGACACAAGGATATCTGCAAGCGGGATCTGAAGGCCTTAGGAATGGACCTCAACAGATGGGAAAACAGATGGGCGGTGCATCACGGCTTCTCCCAATTTGAAGAGACCCTTGTTCAGCAGGCCAAGGCAAAGAGTCAGTCCCGGAAGCAGCAAAATCAGGCAGCTGGACAGGGGACAGATTGTATCTGTCCTCATTGTGGAAGGGATCGTCACTCTCGAATTGGCCTTCTCAGCCACACTAGATGCTGTTTCACATCCTCCATGCAGAGCATGTTACCATAGTCTCTCGATACTGAAGGATGCCTAATCTAGCCTAAATATTTTCAAGAATAGAAAGGCATGTCTGTTTCAAATTATTTTTAAATTTGTTCTAAAGTACTAGGTGAGAAAACGAGACTTGTCCAAACACTCTCTTAATAAAATAGGTCCCAGAGATTTTTTTTTTTTTTTT